CAACTGACTGCTAGGGCTCTCTCCCTAGCAGTTCCAGCTCTTAAAAGGAGCAGGACACCCTAGTGCCCTGCAACATGGTTCATAACTGCCTAAGCAGCACTATGGCAGGAAAGGATGTAAGGGTTGTAGTGGATCACAAAGCAAATAAGTCAACAAAGGGATGCAGTTGCAGGAGGCAAATGACATCTAGATTGCAGTACCAAAGGGTGCCTGTCAACATGCCCATCTGCTCCAAGACGCTATAATTACTTGATTAATGGAGTCTAATGGAGTGTGCTAATTAGCCGCCCCAGCAGCCTCAGTGTCTCATGTATTCAGTGTCCCCATTGTTCAAAATGGCGGTGGGGGCTCTTTAAATAAAGCTTACTCAATGCACTTTAGTTAAAGCACCCCCACCACCATTTTGAAGCATGGGACACTGAATACATGTGATGCTGTGGGCACTTTAATTAGAGCGGCTTTCAGATGCCCTTAATTTACATTAGCCTATTTTAATGTGCATTAACTAAATTGCACATTTTTAATGATGCTTTAATGCATATTAAAATAGACTAATGCTTATTAAAGTGTAGATGCACTCAAAGTGTGTTTAAGTCATGGTAGAGCTGGGGTGCTATTGTAGCTATGATGATCCTGGAAAAATGAATCAACTATAGAGCTGGGAGGGTATGGACAAGACTTTAGGTACCAAGTACCCTCCCTCGGGTCTCAAGAGACCTGTGAGTGATAAAAAAAAAATATCACTCACAAGAATTCTTGCCACTTGTCAAGTCTGCATTGCTTTAAAAGTATCTGTGTTCTTCTTTCATGATAGATTTCTTTTCTGTCTAAACCATGCACCAAATACTTGCAGTATCCAGGTATGATACTGTAAAATTAAGTTATTCCATTATAGTGAGGTTACCATAGTCCAACCTGCTGTGTGATCTTGTGAAAGTAACTTCCCCTCTCCGATCCTCTTTTACCACTCCCACTCTTCTCTGCTTTCCCTTTTAGACTGTAAGCTCTTTGTGTCAACATATGTCTCTTATTACATTATTTGTATAATTCTATGTGCATGCTTTTATCCTAAGGTAAATGATAACTAGCCCACAATATCTTATCCCTCAAGGAAAGACAGGTGAGCTGCTGTGGATTACCCTTCATTAATCATGAGGTAAGAGCATGCACACAGGCAGGTACAGAAGCGTAGCTGTAAGGCCTGACCCTATTTACTTTTTGTGGCAACTTGCTCATGTGTCCATGCCTTTAATGTTACTGCATTGCCTTCTTTTGATTTCCATCTGTGACCTCAGCAAAAAATGACAGGGCTAAATAAAACCATACCACTCATTCAGTTTCTGTTGGCTGGTATTTACCAAATGTTTGATCTTTCTTCTTTTTTTTTAACTCCAGTACCTGGGAAGCTGGGGTATATTCACTACCGTGGGTATAACTAAGAACAAGGTGTCTATGAGTTTAAGATATCATCTTCCGCAGTATTTTAAGGGGCACATCAGTGTTGATTTCTGAAGGGTCCCTAGTCTTATAATAGAGTCAATGTACAATTCATGTACTGCTGTTCTGATAACTGTTGTGAAATCCCAACACATCTCAAATTATTGATATTGAAAATATTTTGTTACTTTCCATATTAATTATAAAAATGATATTATGCTTATATTTTTATGCCCTAAATTTTCTTCAATTCCTGCAGTAACTAATTACTTTTGTCAATCTACTAATGGTGGTTAGTGCACAGTCATTTAGTACTTGCTAAAGTACTAAACCAAGTACTTTTTTTTTAAATCCCCATTTTTTTAACACAGGGGTTTTCAGTCTTTTTGGATCAGTGTACCCCCAGCAAGCCAGACACAGAGTGGGGGGGTGGCATGTGGCCAAACACAGAGTGGCAGCAACCATCGCGTGCAAGCATCCCCTGCCCTCCGCAATTCCAGCTGGGTGGGTGGTGCCTGCACAGCAGCGCAGGGTGGTACATGGTGGCGCTTTGTCCTTGCCCACCCGTGCATACTCCCAGGGCCTTTTCAAGTACTCCTAGGTGTATGCGTACCCCCAGTTGACAACCCCTGTTAAAACATGTTTATCAGGTCATATAGCATATATTTTTTTGAGCAGTTATGGTACAACAACAACAATAATAAACAATCTGTCCCTGTGGAGAAAACTAAATTTTAGGGGGAGTTGCAGCAGTTAAATTCAAAATGAGTCTAGCAGTACTGGGATGAGGTGGCAAACATAATAGGTTTAGCTTGTCCAATCTAAACGTCTGCACAGTCTCTGTGAGGTTGACAGCATGCATGGTGTGAGATGATGAGCACTGGCTAGTACACCTAGAGTCTTACTTTAGAAAATGGTAAGTTACTTAAAATCATCAGAAGCCACTAGATTAAGTGAACATTACATAGACAAGATACCTGCGTGGTGTTCCTATGTTTATAGGTTTTGGGCAATTTAATAATTTTTAAATAGCTCTGAAAAACTGATAAAAATATTTTGCAAAGGTAAAATATGGCCAGTTAATTTCAGCTGTAACAAAAAGATTTTTTAAAAAGATAGTGTATTCTCTGCTGTTATCATTTAGATGGGTTTTTTTTTAGAACCTGGAAAAAAGTGAGGAGGAAAGTAAGTTATTATTGGAGGGTTAATTTTTATAAAAAGAAGAGAAATATAACTTATATGTAAAGAGATCCTTTACTCGTTTCTTTGTGGCTAGCTTAGTAAGGAGCCCTGTTCATGAATAGTATTAAAGGAAATGTATTTTTGGTATATGACAAAGAAATTGAGTATTTCTTTTTTAACTTGTCTTGAAGAACTTTATTGGTCTGCAGGTGCCACAGAGTGTTACTTAGAACCAAAAGAAAGATGAACAGAGGTTATATCCCCATCTATATTTTGTAACCAACCACGTCCAGCCTGTTTATTTTACACTTCCTCTTGCTAATGAAGATATTGGTTTTGTATGGGCTATGCTCTCCTGCATGAGCTTTAGACTGCAAGATTTGTATGTGTTTCTGTGCTTGGTTCCACTCACCGCAACTGGTGCCCAAGACACAAGGAACAAGAACAACAGAAAAACAACAAAACAAGTTACATCATATCTCCAAACTGTTTCCTTCCAGTTAGTGTGGCAAACTCTGGAGTTAAAATCATTCATCTCTTCCTTTTTTTTCCTTTTGACCTACGTCTTTTTTCTTTTCACATTTTCCAAACTAGCAAGCGTGGAGGCAAGGCACATCAAAGCAGAGATGGGGAGTGAAAGAGCACTCGTGTTGGACAGGTTAGCGAGCAACGTGGCAAAGCGAAAAAGTTCAATGCCTCAGAAATTTATTGGTAAGAATAAAAGTATTTTCACATGCTGCAGTTAAATATGTGAGGGTTGTTAATCAGCAGAACAATAGCAGTCTTGAAGGACTTTTGCTAGTTCATACTTTATTTAAATAGGGTAACTTCTGTTTTCCATTATGTTTATACTTACTGCCTATAGGTATTTGATAGACCTCAGAAAATTTTCAATTAATTAAATAAGAAATAGAGATAAATTAATACTGTATTTTGTATACATTAATATTATTTATAAATACACATTTTTCTAGTGCATTTTTCAAATTGAATATGTTTGAAACTCAGGCTTTTGCTGGAAAAGAACTTAATGGCTTGATCCTGATAGGTGCTGAGTGCCCTCCAGCCTTTTTGTAGGCAATGGAGAATGTACTCAGTACCTTCTTGCAGGGGGCAACCAGCACTATTCAGAATTATGCCCAAAGACAGGAGATTATTTAATTTTTGCAAGTCATTTTAAAAAATATGACCCTGATAGTGTCAAACTCTTTCTTGCCCTAATTAAACAAATATTTCTACAGAACACTTTCATAGACTTTATTTGGGGCTGAGTTTTATTCAGTGTTCTGCAAATTGGAAATCTTAAACAGCAAGGTTAGACATAACTTGTTGCTCTCTGTTATTAAACTTTATAGATGCTTTCATATCATTTCAGCTATATTGAAACTTGAGCAGTCAGCAATCATTTTTAACAAATGATCAGAGAAACATATCTGACTATAGTTTATAATATTTGTTTGCTAAACTAGCTATGATGTTTCTGCAGAAATTAATATAATTTTAAAACACATTTACTTTTGAAATAATGGTACTACTTTGTTCTTGTGTAGCTAGAGTTCTTGTGAGTTTATACAGAAAGCTAAATACCATGGCATTTAAATTGAAGTAGATAACCAATCCTAGAATACATTTTTAAATAATCCTAAATTTGATGGCAATTTTTCTATCTCCATCTATGACAGATGCTGTTATTTCTTTCTGCTGATCATATTTCTTTTATTTGCCTTTAGCAAAAATAATATTGAACCTTATTTTTGGACTATATGAAGCCATGTTCTACATTACAAATTTACTTAGCCAGCAGTTATGCAAGTAGTGTTAATATTGTCCTAGACATTATTTTTTTCAGGGCATGTATATGGAATAGGATGACTATTTTTCTTCATGTACATTTTCTGTTGCAAATATTGCCCCTGGTAATTTTGGTTCATGCATGTGTTGCAGGAGTGGAGGGGGGAACAGGGAGAAACTAGTGGTAGTAATCAACTGTTAGAGAACTTGAGCAGCTTCTTTTAGACTGGTCCACAACTGCTTAGGTACCAAGGATCCCTCTTGAACTTGTGGACCCAAATTTTCCAAATCTTAGGAAGTTAAAGGTAGGCTTCTAAATCCACATGTAGATGCTGAAATAAAAGTGACTTGTCTATCAAAGGCACTGAGCATATTAAGCTCACACTGGCTTCCGTGATCTAGCACATCTGAAAATGAAAGCATTGTACAATATTTGGCTACTGCAGTAAAGATTTAGAAGAGCCTACCTTTAGGTATCTAGATTTGAAAATGTTGACTGGGTTTTAGGTTTTGCAGGCTACATTGTGATACAAAAAAAGCATGAAAACAGTGCTTTTCATGTTCATCAGCACTTTTCTTAGCATTAGGAGCAGTTTTAGATTTTTCTTTTTGCTATTGACAGGGGGTGATTCCTGTGAGGTGCTGAACACCCTTTTACGTTTGGGGCAAACAAACACATAGCCATGTTCTAAACTTTGACTTCAGTAGCACTAAAACATATGCATAAATGTAAGCATATGCTAAAGAGTTGTGCTGGATGGGGTCCATGTGTTCATCACCTTGCAGGATGGAAGCCTTTAAAGATTCTTTGTAGAGCTCCAATAATGGAGTCTGTTGATAGCACATGTTGAGGCTGTGGTATGAAGAAGAGACTTTGTGGACAGGTTAGAGGGACAGTGGTGGTTCTCATCATGACACAAAGACATTGATTCCTGAAACAGCTTGCCAAATCTCATTTCTATGAGAAAAGCCTGCTGACCAAAAAGCGTACATTGGCACTTCCTTAAGTAGATGATGCTCTGGAGACTTACACAATCATTATTTTAGGACAAATTCCAACCTGTCATGTAAATGGTTCTAAAATACAGCTTCTCTCATTCTGCCCAGTAGTAGCCACACTGCATAAATAATTTTTGTGGGTGTGTACAGCTACAATTACTAGTAAATATGCAAACAGGGAAACCATATCCCTGACAGCTCTACCTGCTTGATACCATTACTTTGTGTCTTATTATCTGCCTTTGGCTTTCACCTGAGTTTTGAGAGAACAAATATTTGGGTGGAATTTTTCCATCTTGCCCTTCCCATTTTCCTACCAGGTTTCTATTGTGTATGCCTTTCTACCAAACTTGCAAACTCTGTCCCTTCATAATTCCTAATTAATTTAATGTTCCAGGAAAAAAAATGGCTGAGCAGAACTGATGCCCTGTAAAATTAATGCAGAGTGGGATCCCTCTTGTATAAACTAGCTCTCCCAAGTGACTGTCCTGGTGACATCTCACTCCTAAATAGAACTGACAGTGGTCGAGATTCTCAGCTGGTATAAATCAGACTAACTCTGTGGAAGTCAGTGACATTGTGCCAGTTAAACTGAGCATCTAACCTATAGCGTACTACTTGTTCCTTCCTTATATGAGGTCCTTTCCATTTTGAGTGCATTATTAAAAATATATTTGTTACAAGTGGTAAAAGTGCTATTGTAGTTTTGGCACTTCAGCAGTTACCACCAACTCTTTGTGTCAGGTAACTAATGAGAAATGGCCTGCCTTGGTTAACAGAGCAACAGGATGCAGGTTAACTCCCTGTTTTCAGGGTCTGCACCTCATCAAGTTGCAAAAATCTTCATACCACTGTAGAGTAAGCCAGCATCACTGAGCCAACACATGGGTATGTGTCATATACTGTACGATCATATGTGAATTCTGAAGGGGAAAGTTTTGCACTGTGCTGAGGTAAAAAGATAAAATGAGCAAAGATTTTTCTTAAAGTGGGTAGTGCATTACGTAGTAATTGAAGAGTATGAGACACTGAATTTAGTTCTTAAATTTGGTTACAATTTTAGTATTTCATTAAATCTTCGTCTTCCTGTGAGAGCAATATACTCATTTAATCCACAGGTATCACTAGCATTGTTCCACAAGGTTGTAAAAAAGTGTATTGCTACTTCGTAAATCCATGCCATTGTTAATTTACGTAATCCTTGTTCCCAACCTGCTGTTCTTTTCCCTCTGGTTGCTGTCTTTATTGAATTGGGTTTTGTTCCATCTTTTGTCAGATTTTAGCAACGAGTTGACGTTGACATAAACCAAAGCCACAACAGAGAAACTTAGTCCATTTGCCTATAATTTGATGATCTTCCAGGCCCCTTCTGGCCCATTGTTTCTATAATGTTACATTGTCATATTTTAATTTGCTATAAATGAACATACTAATTTTGGGGACATTTATTTCCTATGACTGTAAAATCTGATCGTAATCCTACTTAATAGTAGATTATAAAATATGTAATACCTTTTGTCCCCCTGTGCTTTACAAATTAAACAACTTGATACACTACTGTCTATAGGGATTCTTTGACCCCTGCTGAGATGGAGCTGCTTCTAGTATAAAACATAGTAGCTTTTCAAAGGTACAGAGGAACACTGAACAGCCATTTAAGTCCAAAGAATGAAGAAGGATATTCTGTCTAATCAATATGTCATTGTGGATTTTAGGGAAGCAGAATGAAAATAACTGCAGTGGGAATTTGAGAAAGACATCAGGGCTCACATTCCCCGTGGAAAAAATACTGTGAGATTTTTTTTTTCAGGAACCATAAGGGGTCAAAGCTTTTGTTTCATGTCTTACATGACCACTGAGTTTTAATTGTGAGTTTTACAGTAAGGTTCTGTATATTTTTGATTGTGTTACTTTTTTAATTTAATTTTTAATTAAATATTCTGTTCGTCTAGCACTGGTGTTATGAGTCATCCAAATGTGTTATACCATTTTGGTTCCTTTTGAGTAGAAGCTGGATCATAAGTTTTGTTGAGGGTTGGAAGCAGTTACATTCTTGTGGTTCACTAACCTTTTTTCTAAGTGTTGTATAAAAGAAACGTGAGCTCCTGGTTTTGCTATCTTTGCAGTGAAACCTGATGAGTTTCATATACATTGAGTCATAATGTTGACAGGTGACTGATAAACATCTGTCCTATTCAAGTTACCGTAACTCAAAGTTTAGTGGATCTGATGTTTGCAAGTCACTTGCACGTGAACCTTCAGGCTTGTCCCTTTTGTTAACTATGAACAATCATAAGCTTCATTTAACCACAGAATTCAGTTATGTATTACTAGACATCCAAAAAAAAAAAAGAAGCTATTTCTGCCTCCTTTGGGATGCAACTTTTTTCTCTCTTTGCACCTGGCATATAGGGGCAGTACCTGTCTGGGGCAGTGCTATCTTTCCTTGTCCCATCCCTGGCTATCAGGTCTGCAAGGAAACAGGTGTGTAATCCTTTTACCCTACTGTTATTCCCACCGTGCACACATCCTCAGTGCACACATCCTTAACATAACCAGAGCAGGGACAGTTTTTGCTCTCCTGTGTGACTATTATAAAATAAAGTCCTATATTAGGTGACTAAAAATATATCAGGTATTTTCTCTACATACGTACCTTCATACATGATTATCATATCTACGGTATATAACAGCTTTCTCAGAATTAAAATTAAGAAGCTTCACTCCTAGAGAATCTATGCAGTGCTGTGCATCTAGGTTGGGAATATGCATAAATACTTGTTAACTTAAAGTTATTAAAATATAGTGAACACACCAATAATTCACTGTGTTACTCCCTTTTCACGCTATCATAACTGCACGATTGGTAGTTGCCGTGGCATAACACTGAACTGAAGAATCGGGTCCAAATTGAATTTAAAAAATTGCAAGTGAAAAGTTTGGTTAAGGATTTCTGTGCAAAAAAAAATGGGGGGGCAAAATCTTTCCATTACCCCTACATAATCTTGTCGCTGGGGTACTCCAACTACTATGTTTATAAGGAGACAAATAAAAATAAAATATATCAAGTGTGTAAAAATCAATAAACAATATAAAGAAAATCCAGTTAGACACTCCTGTTTGCTCTCCCTGTTATAGGAGGGTATGGTTTCTGAGGAGATGATGTAAAACCTAGATGGAATATTCAAGGATCCTAATAAACAAAATGTTCTATGATTGACACTTTTAACAGCTTTTTCACATATTGATGCTCACGTTTTATATTTAAAAACAAGTAGCAATTTTGAAATCTTTTGAATCTTTGAAAACTTTTGCTGAAATAGTTTTTTTTTCTCTGAATCCTGGACCAATCAAAATTCAGTGATGGATTGGCCAGGAACACCAGGTTGTTAAATTAACATCTCTATTACCAGAAACTTCTGATTTGGAAAACCACTTCACTTACACAAACACCATCCTTGATCCAAGGAGCAGACAGCTAAATTCAACTCTTTCTTGTCCAGGGACTATTGTTATATAGAAAAGTATCCTAAAATGTGAAGACAGAATTCACTCAGTAAATTTAATTTCTTTTTTCTCTTGCAGGTGAAAAGCGACATAGCTTTGATATTAATTATAGTTCAAGTTACATGTATGAAAAGGAAACTGAGATGATGCAGGGACGTATGATGGACCAAGCCATAAATAATGCCATCACCTACCTTGGGGCAGAAGCACTGCGTCCTCTTGTGCAAACCCCACCCGCTCCCACTTCTGAAATGGTCCCTGTCATCAACAGCTTGTATCCAATACCACTCACCCGCTCTGAAATGTCAAATGGCAACTCACAAGATACAGAAAAGAGTCATGCCCACCTGAGAGACAAAAGTCTGTCTTCTGACAGAGGTCTTTCCCCAAACAACAGTGGTCAAGACTCCACAGACACTGACAGCAACCATGAGGAGCGCCAGAATCATACCTACCACCAAAACCAAATGATACCTCCCCAGGTCCGCAATGGCCTCCAGTCCTTGAAGGAGCTCCCAAGGTCATATGACATCATCAAGCCACCAACTATATGCCCACGTGATGCCTTTAAGGTTATCAATAAGGAAGGTGAAGCCATTGGGGTCTACAGATGTGACCACTGCCGTGTCCTCTTTTTGGATTATGTGATGTTTACCATTCATATGGGATGCCATGGATTCCGTGATCCTTTTGAGTGCAACATGTGTGGCTACAGAAGCCATGACAGATATGAGTTCTCCTCACATATAGCACGAGGAGAGCATAGGGTGTTACTGAAGTAAAAGGATTATTTTTTCTAAGACCAGAACATGGGTATTTTAGATTTATTGGGATTTTAAATGTGTCTAAAGTTACTTAAATATTTTTGTGGCAGTTCCAAATATGTTAGTGTCCCTCATAGTTGCAAAGTACTGATGGGACTTTTCAATTGTTACTAGCAAACAGTATACTGTAGCATCTGTGCCTAGATACTATGGTGACTGGCACTGTATAAGCACCAAAGATAGAAATACATTTTGTATTAACTTTATTTTTGTGGAAACTAATAGCAGCATAAGAAGATTTTACATTTTATATGTGTATGTGTTAGAACATTTACTTCCAATAATAGCAACATGTTAATTTTGTTGTATTATGAATGAAATACAGGTAAAGTACTGAACTAATACTTATAAAATGTTGAAACTCAGCACAAAAGGTTGCTAATCCATACTGCCCTTTTCCTGGGCCTGTCAGAACCGCTATATTCTAACCAGTAATTCACAAGAGAGACTTTCTGTGGGTGTTTCAATTCCTAAGGTCTTCCTCAGTGGCTAAATTAATAAAACACAGAAAACCCATATCTGGGGAGATGGTATCATATTCACTTTTAAATGTTTCCCCCCGGAGCCTTAAAAAATGTATGGCCCTACTACACTTTCATTTTATTTACCCACTCTGATCACTTTCTTTAAAATGTCTTTCCACTCACCTCTCACTCAGTAATATTAAAATAAGTAGTGTGTGCTATTTTAGGGTTTAGGGTTTTTTTTTTTTAATTATTGTATTTTTTTTGGCATACTCAGTGAGACCATTTGTTCACTGCTGTGGAAAGTCAATAGTGAAACTAACATTGACTTGACTTGGTGTAGAATCTGACTCTGAAACAGTAATATGCATGCAAACTCCCATTTATGCAAATAGATTTTTTGCCTATGTCAGGACTGCAGGATTGGGCTGTGTGACATTACTGTACCTCAGGGAACAAATAGGTTCATACAGAACAGATTACAAGAGTTTTGTACTTAAAAAACAATGTCCTAATAAAGAAAATGTAATGAATAGAAAGGTAAAAGTTCTTATTCTCATCTCACTCTCACTGGTTTTATGCCAGTGTAACTCAACTGGTTTCAGTGATATCATTACTGCTTTATAACACCATGAGTGAAAGCTAAGCCCCAATTTTATTGGACCAGATGCTGCGCTTTTTTACACACGTGCTATCTCATTGATGTCAGTGGGTCTGTACAGATGAGCATAGAATTTGACCTAAAGTATGCTGGTTTTAGAATTGCCACAGTCATAATGTCCTAGGAAATATTAACAGTAGGTACCGTGAGAATCTTCATATATGAATGTGTGGGAGCTGACAATTCAATCACGCTGTCTGGTTTTACGTGGGGATATCCCTCTGAGTGAAATGTGCTGTTTTGCAAAATGAGTATTTACAATTACTTTGAAGCCAGCTTTTAAAATAGTTCTTTAATCTAATCATTGTTCTGCAGCTGTATTATTAGTCACTGTTCTGAAGATGTGAATTTGATAACATTTTTGCTGAGTGTATGTTTATTCTTTTTTTTTTAAAAAAAAACTTTTCTATAATGTAGAATTAGACTTATTCCGATGAACTTTTCCATTCATTGAATATTTTGTATAAGTATTTCTTTTGTACTTTTCAGTGTTATTGTATCAACTGCTGTGTGATGCATTTCAACTTTTTCACTAGTCCCTACAAAAGTAGTAACTAGTTCTCTGAACGTATGAATGGGCATCAGGAAATACTAAATTCTAACTGCCTCTGACATTAGCTCCTACTGTGTCCTTGGATGTGTCACTGACTTAGTTCTTCATGTGTAAAAAAGGGAATGAAAATATTTACTCTTCCTGATTGGGGTGTGTGTAGAGATTAATAAGTTAATGTTTGTAAAGTGCTAAGAAGATGTATTACAAAAATGGTAACTATTGTTCTATCTCTTTTGGGGAGGTGGGGAAGATGATTTTGCTCACTTTTATATTTAGCTGTGTACATAGTTGTAAAATAGTTTTAGAAATCTCTTTGCACCAATTAACTTCTTATTACCAGGTATCTTTTAATGAACAGAGAGGATGTTAGTTCCAGCTCCTCCGACTGCTAAACACATTATTAATATAGCACTACTGCAGAATCTTTCAGTTGAGTAACTTTCAACTTACACCAGTGTAAGATCAGATAGAGGTCCTTAGGCTCTTGCAAAATTATGTTAGCCACAGTGAAACATGTCTTTAAATGACCGTCCAAGGTGTCAAAATCAAAATTTGATCACTTTACAGAAATGCTGTCTTAATAAAGCAAAATTATGATCAGCAAAATATTTGGAGTGGTTTGTTAAGATAGGTTTGCCCAAAAAAGGGTGGGGCAGAAACATACTGTATAGTGCAAAAATGCAGTTTTCTTCCTTATTTCCTGTTTAAGCTAATGTGAATTGTTAAACAGTTTCAGTCAAAAGATGGCTGCATTTTCATGGAGAAAGTGATCAATAGATACATGCCATTGTGAATGAAAATGTTTCTCATCACGGTTAGACTTAGAAAGATGAATAAGAAAAATTATAGCAAAGTGTAACCTTGTCTTTAGCACAGGAAGCTCTTCAGGTTGCTATATATATGTCATAAAATACCACCAGTTTCTTTCTCACACCACCATAGAATCCTTGAAAATTACTTTGCAGAATTTATTCTCCCACTCTTCACTTACCGCCAACTGTTCAGGCAGGGCTTTAACCACCTACCCATTATTTCCCAGATTAGGTGAGCAATCAACCACTGAACCTGTGAAAAGTTCAATTTGAACAATATTGACAAAGTTTTGAAAGAGGAAAGACAGAGGTTTCACAATATCTGCCCTAGAAGGCAAAATTTTCCCACCACAGCTCAGGCAAAATGTTTGTTCAGATATGCTACACCAAAATAAATTGTTGTTCATTGCATTGACCAGACCTAATGAGTAATGATTGTATTACAGATCTGCTGCTGAAAAATCAAGGTTGTTGAATGTGGACTCAGCCTTAAAAATGTGCATATTTTTATCAATAAGTTTTATCTGATGTGGAAATGCTAACAACAGTATTTTATGAGTTTGTATTTGGAGCTACCTGAACTTTGGCAAAGGACCATATTGCTTTTTTATTGGAACTGAAGCCTGAGGGCTGCACACAATGCCCAGCCCAATCACCCTCAACTTCCATTTAAATCAGCATCCAGGACCTAATTTCCATTAAATGGAACAGATTAACTATTACTTTGTCTTTAAAATACACCTGTATCCCTCAGACACTGCAGATTCTGTCACACAATGCTCAATCCTTCTTCCTAGTATGAAGTATTTCATTTTGAAACATGCAATCTGTTTTGGCTGTGTCCTTTTGTCAAAAGCCCTGTCACTAGACTAGGAGTTACATTTGGCTTGCAAGATGTATTTTAGCAGCTCTAGCTACAGAAAATTCAAATGCCAGGTATGAAAAACCCAGTGCTGACTTGTGAAATTATCTGATCTATCAAAAAAACCCTAAACATTGTAAATTGTTGCTAGCCTGATTTGTTCTGCTGTTGGTTAATGCTGCTGGTTCAGTTGATCTTGCTCTGAAAATAAATTTCTCTAGATATTTTTTTTCTGAAAGGCAGCATAATGAACAATTTTCTCTGAGTCTCCCGTATTTCTTTATTTTTACTGATAAATCACCCATGCCCAATCACCTATGTTGTGGCTTATGCAATTCTGTTTTCTCGTAAGTATATATATATTTTGATCTTTTGTTTTAAAGTTGTTTGACTTTTTTTGAAAAACCTACAGAAAGAGGTACTTAATATGCATAACTGCTAAAGAAATTTTGACAAGGGTATAGACACAAAGTGCTTCTGTGTTTGCAGGGTCTTGAATAATGGGGCCCTGGTCCTGACTGGGGTTCAAGGCTCTGGAAATGTCACTAATAACAATGCTCAGCCCAATATAACAAACCAAAATATTTATTTAAGATGAAATTAATTAAGATTGGCAATCTCTAGATTCAAGAAGTTGAGAAATCTTACTTAAAGCCTATATTCCATGCACAGACTGTGATCAGTGCATAGTTGTATTAGACCATTTCAGTACCGAAGAATAAAGTTAGTGGCTGTGGTTTGTAAAATATTATATAGTTTCTTAATGTAATTCTGTTAAACTCAGACTTAAAAATTATGCAGTCTGTTCTACTAACTGTTGAAAAATTATTCCAATATTTGACTTTACTGAATGGACAAATGAACTGTATCCAAAAAAAAGAAGTCCTGTTATGACCTTTTGGAACTGTGTTGCACTTTCCCTGTGTTGTCCAGGCCAACCCAAGGCAGGCAGTCAAAGGTGGAGGCAGAATGCTGTCCTGAGCAGTAGCATAAATAAAGTAGGGCAACCAGAGCAGCTGCTCTGGGCATCACCCCTGGGGAGCAGGAGGGATTGGAAGGCCACAAAAATAGGCAACAATATCCACTTCCCAGGGTGCAGAGCTGCTCTGTTATGCCTCTGGGGTACACAGAAGGAATTCCTTTTAAATGAATTCACTAGGAGTTTTGTATGTGCATATCTGAAGGCAAAGTTTAAGCCTTGCAGCTTGCTCATTGTGACACTGTGGGCATGTCTACATGTGCATTAACACACTTTAGTTAATGCACATTAAATCAAGTACCTCCACTGTGAAGGCATTTTTACATGTGCTGGTGGGGGGTGCAGCATTCTAATTAGAGTGGCTCTGAGAGCTGCTTTAATTAAAGCATCTGTGGTGTCTCATGTATCAGCATCCCCACATCTTAAAATGGTGCTGGGGGCGCTTTAACTAAAGCTTGTTCAATGAGGTTTAGTTAAAGTGACCCCGCCACCATTTTGAAGCATGAGGATACTGATACATGAGACACAGAGGCTGGCTAGAGCATGCTAATTAGCACACTCCACCAGACTCAATTAACTGAGTCTGCTCCAGCACATTGTAAGTATTTCCATGCATATCTATAGGAACCCTGAGGTACTAGGAAAATGCATATTAGTCTGTCTTAATGTGCATTAACTAAACGCTTAATGTTAGCCTATTTTAATGCGTATTAACTAAATAGCACAGTTTTAGTGACATTTTAATGTGCATTAAAATATGCTAATGAGCATTAAAGTGCATGTATAGATGTGTCCTGTGTTAGGAATCCTCATTCCATTTTGGGCCAAATATGAGTTTTACAAGGTTAGCTTTGGGAATAATTAACAGGCACTGAGGACTCCTTGTTTGAACTGATGGTGGGCATGTACAGAAAGGGAAAGCAATGTTGGTTTGCTTGTTTTTGTTTTGAGGACTAGAAGTCCCTTGTGTCTAAAAGGACTGCCTGCTGAGTCCAAATGTCATAATTTATATTGTTGTTTGGTTGAAAGCTTTTCCCCTTCCTTAGCCTAAAGTATCTGTTAAGAGGCTTTGCCCAGAGTTTGTAAGACACGTTGGAAAAAGGAATATCAGCACTTTATATTAAACCAGAGGTGCTCAACCTGTTGGTGCTGCGGGCTGATTGAGCGGCACAGGGCCAATCCACAGGCAGGATTGGACCCTGTGTGCCAGGGTCGGCCCTGCACCCTCAGATTGGAGCCCTACACCACTCCCCTGGGCCCTGTCCTGCCCCCACTCAGCCCCATGCTGCAGCTCAGGCCCTGCACCACGTTCAGCCAGCCCCTGTGTGCCCAGATGGAGCTGGGGGCCACTTCCACATGGCAATCTAGTGTGCTGTCTAGCCCATGGGTCTCCTCATGAGTCCAGAAATTTGACAGCATGGAAGCAGCAATTGCTGCCACCGGTCCCCTGCCACCAAATTTTCAGACTGGTGGGGACCCCTGTGGGATGGATGTCATGACTGGATCTGGCCCACAGACAGGGGGTTTGAGCACCCCTGTATTAGACTGAAAGGCGGTATAGAAATACCCAAGGGCACTCCAGTGTGGAACGCTCAGGTGGCTACTCTTTTGCCCCTATTCTGATCACAGGGTGAAGTGACAGCTGGTGCCCTGGCGTGGGCTGCTCAGGCATAGTGGTAGCCTTATTATCTACTGCAGACCTGCATATGCCATGCCCTAGCTTCCCCATGCACGCTTCCTCCCCTTCCCCCTGCCTCCTTTTTGCTCATACTATGGAACAGAACTGGGGCATACATGGTGTGTAGAGCTTGCTGGGGTAGCCTCCCTTCTTGGTCCTGACCCCAGGGGTCAGTATGGGGTCTGCTCACAGCGTAAAGGGTGTGTGAATGCTGTGAGCACGCAGCATAGAGGGTGCAAGTAACAGTGGCTGGCCCCTACCAACCATACCCATTTTCTAAAATGCTGTAGGTTTAGACATTTTAAGCTGCTGGAGAGGTCTGCAGAAACCTCAAGTTTTCCATAGGGCTCTGTATCATTATGGTGACAGCACAAAGCTCATTGGAACACATCAGCTAAAGGGGAGTCTCAGTTAACGAGTTGCGGAGGAGGGAGTTTCAGGGTAATACTTTGGTAGCCAGCAGACTTGTTTTAGCACCTATTTTAGCAACTGCATACTTGTTCAC